CAAGGCCGCGGTGGGGCCCTGGACGATGACAGTTTAGCCTCCAGAGTCCAACTTTTGCAAGCCACGTTCAAGCCAGAGCCCAGTTTTGAAAATCTTCATGAAACGCACCTGCCTCCGAAATGCAAATACCGCGATGCTGTTAAACTAGAAACCTAAACCAGAAACCCTCACCTTCGCCCAATCGGCGGCTCCGGTATGCTCCGGTCTCGGAGCTGAGCGAATCAGAGCCACGGTTTAGGAACTTTCGCGGGTTGTCAACCCTTCATTTCACTTAATCCCTGTGAAAGCCCTGATGTTTGTTACTAATATTACTAGTATTACTTTTACTTCGGCATGATCCTTGGCCAAAAAGCATGATGCTAACAAGTTTCGATGGGGACTAGATGCAATTCCAAAACCTTCAACACCCTCTTGAAAGCCTCAACACGGAAAACCTTCGACTCCCTTGCAAATCCTCAACCTTGGAACGCCACAGGCCCTAAACACAACCAGGTTAAGAGTCGACCGGCCCAAATCCTAAATCTGTCACCTCGGTTTACTTCAACCCCTTCCCCATTGTTCACGAATCCTTGCTTCGCCCCAGACCCCAAGCAGAAAAAATGCACCAAACCCTGAGCCCTGTTGGAATCGTGCAACGTTGTCAAACGAGTGTATTCTCCTCCATTTCAATTGAACCCATTGGGCCTCTCTGCGGTTCAACCAGCCTAGGTGCTGCCCAGGAAGATGGAGAACATAAAAAGCAAATCACGTTGCACTCCGCTTTCAAGCTTTTGCGCTCAGCCGTGAAACCGTCGCAAGGTGCGGTTATTGTCTTGCTTTGCTGGCTGCCAAATGCACGTGGGGTCGGTCGGGGCGGAATGACTTACCTCAGCTCTAAACCCAAAACCCAATAAGCGTTCCAATAAAGTTTTGTTTGCACGGCGCGCAAGATGTCATCAATCGTACCAGATTCGTTTCGAAGACGGCACAAAACTAAACAAATGTAGGCAATTCGTCGGTCTGCTGGACATTGTGCCTTGGGCACGAGGCCAGCGATGTCAGGGGCCGAACGCCTGGAACAACCTCTACACCGTGAAGATTTTCGTTTTTACTCCAAGGAATAGTGGCGACTTCTGTATATTGTGCCAAGCCTTGATCGCCGAAACCCTTTCAAGATGTAGTGTAAGGAGATGGAACGATCAGTCGTCCTGGTTTTCATGTGCAGAACATTTGCAGAGCCCACAACCCGGTTGTTTTATGCAAAACGAATTGCTGACACCGAATCTCACACCGACAGCTCGTGTCCATCCCCTTATGCTTGAGGTCCGTCGTACATGCATGAGGGCCAAACCGCGTCTCGGACCTGAAAACTGACTCGCAAGGTTCCGTTGTACACTACAAACCTTGTGCACTGAGGCTTGATTCCTTTGGCCATTCGGGTGGCAAACGCCCTTCATTCCATCACATCCCTCCTGAGTGCGAAAGCTCTTTAGGTTGTTGGACATGACGCTGCGATTTGATTGATGCTGGTAAGAAGGCTGCAACCCGAAGGAGATGAAAGCTCGATTGGGACGCAGCAGCTGAACGTGAACAAAACCTTTGTGAGCCGGCCCTGCCACGGCCATGTTCCCTCAGTAAACCGCTTGTGGCCAGGGTTTGGGCTCCTGTTTGCAACCTTACTTAAACGTCGGTGTCCAGTGCCATGAAGCCAAAGCTTCTCCACCCCAGAAATATGAACCGTTCGACGCCTAACCGTGATGACCAACAACTTCAACCCCGAAGTCCTAAACTACACCCTACAGGCCTTGACGTTCCGGACCCTCTGCCAGTTCAACCCTGAATGAAGAATTGTGTTCAACAGTGTTTAACAATGTCAACCCCGAAGCCCTAGACCGAGGAAAATCACACCTTACCCCCCGCACCTCCATACCCTACACGCGTTGATGTGCCGGAGCCTATGCCAAGTTAAACATCGAGGACTCCCAAACCCTGGCCTTTCAAAACTTTTGGACCGGTTGGGAGATCTTCCTCAAGCGCGCTCCCGATATCCTGCAGCTGACAGAGTTCATGCGAGCCTCGAGTGCGAAAGCCTGGCGGGTATATCAAGTCCTTGAGAATCAAAGCCACGACGTCATCAAGTGTTTAGAACCGTTTAAACAAATAAGGCCCAAGCAACCAGTCAGATCGTGATTGCAGTGCGGCTCCGTTTTCGACTAGGGCCTGCTTCAGCAAACAAACACTGCCACAACATACCAGAAGACACAACGCCTAAGTCTGTCCACCTGCACGAAACTTTTACCGTAGCCGGTCATGTTACATCCACAAGTACGACTCTATAACCCTGATGAAGAAACACCACCACACAACTACCGACCTCACAACGCAGTACCCGCCAAACCACCCTTCGGACCCCGGAACCACGTGGCCCCTCCCTAGCGGAACCCACGAATTGGACCGCGAGCTCCTGACCAAAAACCTACAACACAACTACCCATCTCACCACGGACCTCCGACCAGAGCACCGTGGAACGGATTCTTCAACCCAAGCTGACAGCTAGTGGACACCAATGTGGAAAAACGGAACACAAGCCCGCCATTGAGTCAAAGTTAGAAGCTAGGAACCTTAATCCTGGTTACTGATCATACAGCCGACAGCCCCAACACACACCGTGCATTCCCTTGCCCCGCGGCATCTCGAACTCGCCAGGTGGCCTTGTCCGGCATGCATGGTCAGCTAGATGCTGATGCCGTGCTCGTCCTGCTTCTGGCTGCAGGGCTTGCATGAGCCCTAGCACTAGGAGTCCAAGAATCGGACGGAGGTGGTGGAGCTTGAGGATTGGGTCATGTGTGGCTTGAGGTTCGAGCTCAAAGATTCATGAGGACCTTTTTGGAAGGGACATACATACAAGTAAGACATAGATTCATGTCAGGTATAGCCAAGAGGTAGTTCCTCTTTCACTGAGAGGTTGTTGCAGTTGGGCTGCAAGGTTGGACTATCCTCTCTTTACTGCTCGGTCATGAGACAACTGTTGAAGCTTGCCGTGCAGCTTTCGGGCTTGGGAGCTCGCGTTCGTGCAGCGTAAAACTGGTGAGTACAAGAGTCTGCATTTCGGGAAGGACAAGCTTGAGCCAACATTGATACGGCTTCCGGAGTGGGGGCGATGTGATCCCATATTTCCGGACAGGGCCTCTAGCTGACTCTGGTTAAACTGAGGCATGCGAACATCTCGAAACTCCCCCACGAAAACCTCAACAGCAGCACACCGCTTTCGCAAATGCAAACCGATCCCCGATTCTTATAAGCGTGCCGTGCAGGGAAGGTAGTAGATGTTCTGCGCACTACTTTACCTTGGGAGTCGGAGTTCGCGTGAGTTAGCTCTTAAGCCTTATCGTCCCACACCCTCAACTGCTTGGTACCTCAAAATGCTGTTCAGCCATGTTCCTGAAGCGCGCAGACTGCCTACCTGTTCTCCGAGCCCTCTTGCAGCGCCTCTCTCAAATCCGGCAGGTCCAAAAGCTGCAGGTCGCCTGCAAGAAACTTCAACCGAAGAGACTGAGAAGGAGCTTTGCTGAGCTTGGGTTTTACGTCTGATTTGTCCTAGCAAAAAGCTTGTGCTCGCGAAGCTGTTACCGCAATTTCAATATCCAGCTCAAACTAACTCCGAGCTCTGCAGTCTTATGACGAACCCACATCTCTGCCCACATGTAATGCCGAATGCATCCAAACTTGACTGTTCAATGCACAGGGCCCAAATTCGTGGAACGTTTTTGTCCAATGACAGAAGGAAAAACATACTAATGCTGATAATGCTCATTATAGCAAATATGTTCGAGTGTCCCCCCCACTTGCAGGGCGAGAGCCACCACGGGAAACTCATAACTATTTAGGCTTCGGTATTAGTGCCTAGACCTTCGTCGTTAGGCCAAGCTCCATAAACAAAAAGCCGTAAGTGATAGTAACCCTCAACGAAATGTGCAAAATCTTCCGCATCCCCACCATCTCATAAGCCTCAGCTAAACACTGACACTCCCTGGCCTGCATGCTCTGCAGATCCTGCGCTGCTTTCAGGCGGCGGAGACTTTGGAAGAGTCGTCGCCTGCACCTAGGTTCTAGATTAAATTACGTAAATAACTAAGGCTTCGCTTTGCTGCGTTGCATGAATGCCGCCGAGTCCAGGAATCGATCGACACATGGACGTGCGTCGGTGTGCGCACATAATATGTACTCGTTAAATTTTTGAGCAGTATTCACAAAAGACATACGTAAATGCATGACAAGCGCACACTGCTTCGACAACCGTAAGTCAAAAGTCAAACTTTAATTATATGCTCTCTTCGACAACATACAAAACAATAAACACGACCGCAAACACGGAGGTTAACGCACAGGTTCAAGATCCAAATTGAATTCTCCGAGATGGCTTCTGAAGATGGGTTTTTTGGGCTGATGGCCATTGTTTGGGTTTCGGGTTCGCCAGATGTAGCGGGGTGCTGTGATGCAAAACTGAAAGACTCCAGGCTTCAACGCTTCGGTTCATGACCACAAGCTGAAGCAGCTCTGGTCTTGAATTACATTTCTGGGTCAGGCTGTGGGCTGAGTGTCACAGCAGTCAGGAAGTAAGGTAAGGGACTAAGTTGCATCGCTAGTCGTGCAGCCGAATCTGTCAAGCCGCGAACCTGGTTGCAAAGTAAGTAGTTCGGTTGTCCCCCGTTTCTTTTGCTGAAAAGTCCGGCACGCACAAAGTGCCAGGTAACTGCCGCAAGCCAGACAAACTACCGCTTCAAATCCATAAAAACGTCATTTCAAATGCTGACTCGAACAGCGACAAACCTACATACTCTGTCCGAAAGTTCTGTGGAGAGAACCTGCCACCTTACTAAAGGTCGGGTGTCCAACCCGAAACTGAACCCTATATACCGGGCGCAAAGCGCTAAAAGTCAAAACCTTGCCTTGAGCCCAATCTTACCCTCGTTTCAGCCCCAGTGCCCTAAACACCCAACATCCTAGTGGGCAAGGGCGCTAGCTCCACAGCATCCGCGGCTCGCAAGGAGCCAAGACGTTGGATCGCGGTGATCATTTCCTGGATCCAGGATTTAACCCGCTGGATAAATGTCGAACAGGTGACGAGTTGGTCAGCCGTACATTCTGCATGCTGCACGCCTCTGGGCAATGATCGAGGCTCGAAGTTCCAAACCAGGTCCGAACTGATGTGCGATTTGGAAACACATGTTGAGGCAAAGGCCTGAAGACAATGTCATAGCAGAACCCGCTTACTCTCCAAAGTTCAAGCCTTTTCGTTGGGTGCTAAACAAGCACTCCGTCTTTTAGACACAGGACTCGTGGGACACGGCGCAGGATCTGCAATCAACCGCTGTTGGATGAAAACCTTATTTGATTAGTCCGTCCTGCGGCCTTGAACATCTCAAAGTGACCCCGAACAAGGACTCACTGTTTACGAGGCCTCAAATCCTAAGCCCCGACTTTAGCCACAATTACACACCCCAAAATCTGAAAGTACCGGAGGATCATCTGGCGTGAACCGGAAGGTGGCAGCGCCCTTGGCGGCCAGCAACGCTTGAATCCGACTCCTTGGCTCTGCGCGTTCAGCTGGGCTTTTTGCAAGACGGCATGCTGGGGCTTTCATGGGCTCACCGGTTCAAGGTTCAGAAACAGTACGCTGGCCACAGCCCAAGACCTGCATAAGTAAACGACATGCTTGACGCTCAGGTGTCAGGCTGGAAGCTCAGTTCGGTGTCCAACCGGTCTGACGGTCCCAAACGGCAACAACAAAGAAGCTGAATGCTAGCGGAACTTGCTGCGGGGCTTAGCATCTGACTATTGCAGTGCCGAAGTTTCTTCCACAGGGAAGGTATATCGGACTTCGGGGTCTTGAACGGAACCGACTTGTGCGCCGACGTTAGGATGCATAGGACCTCGACAAGCATGGCATGCTTTCCCATGAAATCCATGTAGCGATATCTGCTGCAACTTGGCCACAGGAAGGCTAAAGAAAGGTCGAACCCATATTCAATCTGCAACCCTGGTGAGCCCTGGTGATTGACGGGTTGCGGAATGTTGAAACAAAACCAGAGAAGCCCCATTGAAAATTAATTGAACTTCTAGCTGTGGGTCCAGGTCCCCATGTGGGCCCAGTCGGCCATTGTGTGACGCGTGTCTTGAACTTCAGGAGATTTGAACAGGCTTCGGCAGAAGGGGGCCACAAATTATGATGGAGTTCCAACTCCGACGTTGCTAACCAATTCAGCGGCAATCACTAACTGTTGCAGAAATGGTATGTATGCACGACGCAGAACTGCTTGTTTCGGAATCATACATTTAAACCCTACCATGGCGCACTACATCCTGGCAGTGGCAGTACCCGTTTTGCAGCAAAGGCTTATATCCCGAAACAATAGTTCTCAATGCTGCGCCGGGCTCCTTGATTGCAAAAACGTCAGTCCCTCCTTGAAGGAACCACCGAGTCTCCCGCCGGATTGTGCACGGGACTGTGGCGGGAGCATGTTTTGGACGCGGAATTTTGAGTCGCGCCCAAAATCTTCACGGCAAAGTGAGCCCTAAATACAAAGCGATCAGGCCCAGGAACCCAAGGAGTCCCATAAGTGTGGCTCCAGCCCTGTAAACCATGCTGCGTCAATCCCGCATGGCTCAATATCTAAGCTCGCAAATTTGATGAGAAAACTGGCCGCATATCTCTGCACAACAACCCGAAGCGGTGCCTCCATGGCATCTTTGGGCAAGGCCGACTGCCGGAAGACTCCCAGCCACAACCCGGCAAAATCGTCCAGCGCCTGGCTCGGGGCTGACCCCCTTCAACAAACTTCCAGCCGATAATCCGGAACTTCTATGAGAATGGGTTGCAAAATATGATGTCCGCAAAAGTGGACCGTCAAGAGACACTTGACCGCCGTTGGGTGTTCCTGCTTGTGGCACTTTCGATGGGTCCTAACCGCATCAGCCTCTACAGCAAAAGTTGCACGATAATGTGCGGCATGGTCACCCTATTTTTTGTGCCAAATCCACCGCCGAAAAAACGAACAGACAGCTGTAAATATGTCAACATGACAAAAAATGGCAAACCAAACAAGAACAGCAACAGCAACGGCAACAGAAACAACATCAATCAATCGACCAGTCGACCAATCAAGGAATCAATCAATCCGTCAATCAGTCAACCAATCAATCACTCAATCAGTCAACCAATCAACCAATCAATCAATCAACCAGTCAATCAACCAATCAATCAATCAATAATCCGTTCATTCTCATTCGTTCAGTCTTTTGCGCAATCATCATTCGTTCATAATCCATTCCATCGTACCTCCCATCCATCCACCCATCCATCCTTCCGTTCTTGATTGATTCATAATTTCATGCTTTCATCCATCCACACATATCCATCCATCTATTCATGCATCCACTCTAGTATTCCGTTCATTCCACTCATTTCGTTCATTTCACACATCTCGCTCCTCTCTTTGATTCATTCATTCGTTCATTCATCCACTCATTCATCCACTCTTTCCATCCATTCCTTTATTCACTCACTCATTGCATCCATGTCATTCATTCATTCGCTCGTGCGTCGTCCCGATTGTAGGCGTTGCTGAGCACCACTGATGAATCATCCGTTTCACCCTCTGTGGGCAGTTGGCATCCGGGTGCGATTTTCGAGATAAGCTGTTTGCCTGAGCCCAGGCCCACTTCTGGCACATTCTGAAAAATTATTCCGCGCTGGCACGGGTAATGAGCAGACCGTGCTGTCCGCCTCGCCAGTTGGCTTGGGGAGAACCTTGTGACGGTAAATGGCATTCTTCGGTCTCAGAGAATGTCTGTCGTAGCTTAAACCCACTCCATTTGAACCAGGAAGCCATTGAAATTATCTTTATAAGCCGGTATCCCATGCCATGCTCTGACAAAGGATATTGGTCGAAACGAAATGCGAACAAATCAGATTCCCTCGTCCTGCTGAACTACAAATCCCGGCCGCTTGAGCTGGTAGTGGTAGTGCTCAACAGCAGCAGCAGCAACAGCAACGGCAACGGCAATTGCAACAACAACGACGGCAACGACAAACCAACAGCAACCGCGACAACAGCAGTGCTTTCACATCAGTGGCGCAGTCTGCGATATCGGGCTTCATGCGAAGTCCTTTTCGATCATTTCGCACTTCTTACGGACATGATTCTCTGCGAAGTAGTCGAGAGGACCGACCGTTTCTCGGTCGGTATCTGGCAAACAGAAGGCACAGGAAAATCCTTTGAACCTACAGGGTCAGGGAAGGCGGGAAAAGGAAAATGTTGAAACATTTTTTTTACCAAAATGGCCACGGAACATAAACATCTTCATTCGACGATCGAAAATCCTCGTGGTCGATCGCGCGCGAGCATGACAGCCACAAAGCTGTCACTCCGCATACATTGTGCTACACGACAACAGCAGCTTCCACACCAGAGCCACATTTCTCTGGTGCTAGCGAACCTTTTTCCAACTGTTTTCGCATCTGTGGCATGGTCATAGTCTGCAATCTCGGAGTTCATTCGAAATCCATTTCGATCTTCTTCACATTTCCAACAAAAATGTTTCGTTTCCCATCGGTGATGGTCGCGCCCGAACGCCACAGGACCTCACCAGTCCCAAGTTCTCCCGCGTGGAAAGTGGAAACCCTACCGCTTGCCCAGTAAGCAATGCCGTAAACAGTAACTAGGTCCTTGAAGTGGACCTGGCCGATCAGATCAGTTCAGCACACCCGGAGGCACATGGCTCAAAACCGAAAGTTGGGACCAACCCAGTTGGGACCGACCCTTAAGGTTGGGAAAGGGCCCGGTTGAAGCCTCTGGAACAGAAGTTGGAGCCTGGAGCACTGTTCGAAGGGCCCCGCCAACTGCGCGGCCATCTGGTCCGTAGCGGTTACAACAACACCAACAACAACCACGATTACAACGACAACAACAACAACTCCGCACCAGCAACAGCAACAACAACCACAAGCACAACCGACACAACCACAACCACAGCGACAACAATGACACCCACAGCGACAACGACGACGACGACAACAACAACAACAAACACACAAACTGCAAGAAGCACCGACAACAACTGCAGAAATTGTTGCAGCAGCATCTTCGACAAAAACTAACAACCAGATCGCAATAAACTTCATGCACTGACGCACACACCAGTGCATGTAAGCTGCATCGAGGAAAAGAGGGTTCACCCCGAAGCAAGAGACACATGGCCCCAACAAGCACTCTGCAAAAGGATGAGACACACAAACAGTACAAGAAGAAAAACGAACAGGTACTTGCTTTCAAACTCAGCACAATGCTGCAAAAGGCCCAACCATCAACACCTTCAATGCGGGCCTCTAACCCCTCACCTTCCTTGCCTTGCCCGTGGACCGATATTGATAGAAGCGCCCGAAGCGCAACAAGCGTCGGCGAACACTGCCGAGGATAGACGCCTGTTACGATGCTGGAATTTCGGACTTGATGTGGGGCTCATGGGCTAAAATCCTTCGTTCTAGACTTCCTCTACAGCAGGCGATCACATGAACACCAGCAGTGCTTTTGAAAGGCCCAGATTCATGGCTAAAGGCTTGCGGCTTGAGTCCCAGGAGCCAGAGCTTCAGTAATCAGGAACGTTGGCATGGCCACTGGGTCAAAAGCCCAATCTAACCAAGATGACTGAGCTGCCAAGCCCCATTCAGCTTTACTGCGGGTAATGTTTTCTTCGAAGCCGCAAAAAGTTTGCCATCTTAACTACTAACTTGAAATATGTTGAAATGATGTCTGTAGGTCCTGTAGGCCTGTAGGTGCCAAAGTCGAATCTGGAGGATGTGCAGAACATTGCAAATTTGTAGTTGTTTGGCAAGGTAGCCAATGATGATTACCTGAACATTCAGCTCGACCGCTTGACCGGCTCATGTCCTCCATAAGCGACGATTGTCACCACGCATGAAGCACCACTTCGTGGAGCCCGAGCCTTTATGTTGTGGAGCCGCAGTTGGAGGACTGGGAGAAATGAATAAATTATCTACTGCTGACGACGTGGTCCTCTGCGAATGCCATCAACCCAGCACCATCGACTATCACCAACAGTGCTACCTGTGGAGACAAAGGTGCCATCGGCCACCAACGTCCTCTGCATGGAGTTGCCACAACTCTGTACCAATTCAGTTACTTTGACAACCACAAGCAAACTGCCCCCTCATTTGGAGCTTCGGGGCCGTGTTCCAATCGCCCCCAAGTATACCTGGTCACCCCGACTAGCTTGTCAGATTCGTGGTTGGCATGCCAGCTACAGCTACAGTTGGGCACAACCTTTCGGATATAGTAATTACGGCACCCAATCAAATCCGAACCTCAACTCTTAAATAAGATAAGCCAGCCCCAAGGCATTCACTTTGGTGACTTTGGTGCCGATGAAACAATACAAGTCAGAATGCAACCCCGGAAAAACATGCCCGAATGAACAACTGGAGACCGAATGTTTCACTGGGAGTTTTCGACACCGGAAACCCACAAAACTGAAATGAATGAACCTCATCAAACATGAGGAATCCAACAACGATCCGCCAACTCGGGCCTTGCGTTTGCGTGCCATGGCCGATGCTTCTGATTCGAAGGCGATGCTACTGGAATGAAAGCACCACCTCGCAGCCCAAATTACTCACAAACGGATGTTCTTGTGCTTCTACTCCAGGTATGCGATATTCCAGGGAAATTCGAGAAAGCCCAAAACCCTAAGTTGGTTGCGGCTTTCAGATGGCTCTTGGGCTGTTCTCTGCCGCCCCAATATGTGATCCCGCGATGTGGTGAACAGTCGAACAACAACAGGAATTCGTTCATTCAGGGGTCCAATGTCTCCAGAATGCCAGAAAGGGTAACATGGAGCGGGCTGCCCGCAAGGTGGATGCAGCAATATCGTAATTGAATGGCTGTTGACTTCCGGCTGGGTACACGCACCTTTTTTCTTGAAACTCTGTGCCGACGCCAAGACTCGAACCCACGAATATGCTGCTTGGCCACTGCAGCATGTACTGCTCGTCGGAAGGCTCCTTGTGAAGATTTGCATTTGTGATGTATGATTGCTTGCTGTTCAAGAAGGACTACCAAACAACTTTGACTGCGCAAGCCCCCTTCGAACATCCACAGTACCACTCATATCATTTTTCCTACTGATTCGATTGGCCTCGGTACTTGCATGCACTTGCTACTCAGAGCCAAAAAGTCCTGGAAGAATGGAGTAGCGGTCTTCACAGCAAAGCTCTTCACTTTGCTGGCCAGACCTGTGCAAAATTGGTGCAACTTTATGTAGGCTGTCGAGGATGCGTATAAAATGTGATTCCCAACTTCGTAGAGACTGAAATCTCTTTGGCCTGAACACCCAGGCCTGACGGCACGAATCGGCAAAACTGGGGGTCCTAATGGCTTTGTTATATAAGTAAGCATACGAAAACAATGACCACCCTCCCAGTCGTACGATGGTGCCATGGGCCAAGGGAGATTGGAACTTCCCAAAGGGCAGTGAACTTAGGGTTTTGTGATTCGAGGGATTCCCGTGCCCCGACACGGCAAGCTCCACAAAATGTGAAGGTTGTGGGGCGTTTCGGGATTAAGGCAGAACTTGCAAGGATTGGATGATTGGACCCTTGTAGTCACCTCACACTCCTGAACAAAATGCCCAACACCAAAACATGTTGCAAACAATGCCTACCGACTACGTCCAGATGGCAGTGCGAGGGTCCTCCTCCTCACCTGCTTTTTTGAGTTGCGGTGATTACACACCCTGCCACCAATATCAAGGTAAATGTCACATTCTTCCTTGAGGGTATAGCATGTGGAATAAAGATTAGATCGACTGAAAGCCTGAAGCTTCTGAACCGTCTGGGAAGCATGCCGGAGAGGATGTTGCCAGCGCCACGTTTTGCGCCTGGTTGCAATTGCTTGAAGCTGAAAACCCTTGAAGTTGCAAGTACCAGGCTTACGTGCCATCAGTTAGAACCTGCAGACCTCATCCTGTCTTACTTTTGGTCGTACTTGCGGCCATCGGCTTGGTGTTTTCTGATTGGAAAGTTAAGGTGGGGCGACGGACTTCCGATTTAGTTGTTCTAGCAGGCTCATTTTTGCAGACATGGTCCTCGGCGAAGAGAACTATATCCCGCACAGACCTCGTGCTCACAGCAACTCCTCGTATCTCCTCGTAGAGTCCCGCCCTTCCAGTTCCACCAATTCTGAGGTCAAGTCTACCATTCCTGCTGTCTAGTCTAGTCTAGACCGGACAGTCATCAAGCAGGGTGGAAATTGGAACATGATAATGACGGAACATACTTCCGATCATACACTACACAAAGCACTCTTCCCGTTGGTCCGACGGGAATGATTAGGAGGTGCAGTCCAGCCAAGCGGCTCTTGCTCATCTTCTTCTCGTCCTCCTGTGAGCGATGCTTGCTTAGGCGTTGCGGTTGGGGCTTGGAAGTAGCGCATAGGGTTCGGCGATCAGGCACCTACGTAATTCAGGGCATCGCGTTTCGTTGGAGTTGACCTCGGCCCTGTCAGGTTTGCAAAGAGATGTGGTGACAGAGGCCACGAGGAGCGCGGCCTGTGCCCACAACGGTTCCGCGGCACGTGCTGTTGCAAGGTGCATGGTGTGGTCTGTTGTAGGTGATGTTGAAATTCGAAGTCGCCCTCCCACCGGTTCCATGCTCATTTTGGGGTGCCTATCGTCTTCCTGCCAAAGCACCGGGCAGTCCGGCGCATCTTATCGGGTGCCGTGTTCAACCTCGTGGGCGCTCCTGGAATCGTGTTCGGGGGCTTGGACTCTTGGTCTTTCGGCGTTTGGGTCGACACTGACATAATTTGGATCCCGTGCATCCTCAGCAGTTCGGTTGACGAGATGCTCGATCTTAGGCAAACTATGGCAAACTACTGTTGTCTGAGCCCTGCTAGTTACAACTCGAAAAACGCTGGGGACCGGACCGTTGCGGAGGAACAGCAGCTACCACCGAGAAACCGTGTCAAAGATTGCAGAATACAGAACCCGTCCGTTTGTAATCTGACACGTTGACCCATCTCACCGTGTCCTGCCGTCTTCTTCTGAGCAGATCTGCCCTTACTCTACAAAGCTATGTTTGCAGTCATCATACCTATGGTGCACAGAACCGCACACGTCACATCTTAGAGACACGTCCTCGGCTTCATCGAGTTGATGTGAGGTGTCTCGGAGGAACCTTCGGTTTGAGAGCTACGGCTTCGTGAGATGAGTCAGCGTCTCAAACTCGGAATCGAAAGACTTGATGGCAGATATGGCAGGCACTGGAAACAAACGAAATTACGGTACTGCATCTCAAATCCACAGTGCCGGCGAGAGGATTCGGCATGTGATTGCGCAATGTTCGAAAAGTGATGTGCTACGAGACCGTTGCACAACAGCGGGCACGCAAGCTTCAATACTTCGTGCTGTCATAGTAGCTATCTGCCATAGGTCTGTCAATTCCAGTGACCCTAATCGAGGTTTTCAAGTTCGTTTACATGTCAGCATAGACTCAAAAATCGCACGGCTTTGCCTTCCCACTTTTTTGGAAGTTTTGGGTGGTTTCGGCTTTCCCCCGGTGGTTCTGCGTGCGCTCATCTGTGGAATGTTGGGCGCCATACCAGTAGAGGGAGGAGGGTGGATGCGTGGGCTACCGACCCTCCGCGTAACATCCACATCCTTTGCAGCAGCCCCACAACCCTCAAAAATATACTTTCTTGCAACGAGTGGCTGGGCAAGAATATGCAAGCCCAGGTAGCAGCACATCAGCGTGAAGAGCGTGGCTAAGGAACCTCCCGAGCAGTTCTGAGATTCTGTCGCAAGTCCCATGTTCTCGGAAACTGTGAGACTGGAGAAAACAATGATAATCCAAAGATTGAAACACAGCAGACAAACCAACACCGTAGCTTCATTGGCATGGCTAGGAACAAGACCGCCATGCCCCGTGCATTATCAACATAGTCAAGATGACACACACACACACACCCTCACTCATGGCTATTGCTGGCTTGCGCAAGTGACCTGCTAGCAATATGATTGTGTGTCAGGAACGGTCATCGATGGGTCTTGCTGCTGTTGTTGTGTTTGCCCTTTAACGGCATTGAGATCCTGCAAACGCTGACCCAATATCTCATCAACGGACTTCTGCTTGTTAAATTAAACAAGTCTGTGACTGCTTCCACGACTTCTGACAACCGTTGATCCATCGTTCCCAATTGAACTTGCACTGAATCATGCTATCGTTGCTGCAGAGTGCGTGCCGATTGTTCTTCTTCTTTGGCAGCCCGAAGCTCTTCTTTCAGTCTAAGAATTTTTGTTTGGGCGTCACCCACCGTTGTAGTGGTGTCAACGGATCGTACGCTGAGTTGAGATTGATCTGCGACATTGCACAACAAGCTCTTGTTGTTATTACCGCAGACCGAGCTGATCCAAATCGCGGCATGACATGCTTCTACGCACAGACAGAAGCTTCTGCATAAAGGAAATCATGTCAACTGCAAGGCTCTGCACACTCTGTACCTTTTTATCGTCTGCATCGGGCATTACTCAAGGTGAATCGATCTGGATCTGTTTCTGGAACGAGTTGACCGTGAAGACATAATAGATCCAAGATCTTTTGCTGGTGCTTTGGGGTCTCGTCTGACGGGATGCAACGCTGTAGGCATGGCATAGCTTTTGTGGGAGGCCGAATGGGTGGGGCTGGTGGAAATACTGGTGGAGGCAATGGTACAGGTCGTGATCCTGTGGGAAGGGAGGCTGAAGTTGGGGGAGGGGGAGCAAAAGGGAATGGGAGGGGTGGTGGTGGTGGTGGTGGTGGTGGTGGCGGTGGTGGTGGTGGAGCTGGCCCAGCACTGCCCGAACTTCCCGAACTGCCCTGGCTTATGGTCGCATGGTGTGACTGGATCTGAAGGGCGATGATCCGATCTCTTCTTGCACCAAGATTTTCAAATGAGACACCAATACTCCACGTCGGAAAGGGTGCGTAACATGGTTCAGGCGGTTAAGGATGACAAAGCGTCTCAATGATGTTCATGATCTCTGTGTCAACTTTAGGTGGCATTGCTGTACAATTCAGCAACTACAACCCTGCTTGGTGAATGAAGCCAAGACTGCAGTACACTCTGTCACTCATGCAATGTTTGCACATGCCAACACATTTCCTTGCACAACAACACGCAGTCCCTTGCAGAACGAACAATTCAGAGCAGGAAAACAAGATGAGACTGATGTCCTGATTGAATGTGAAACTTCTTGAGATCAATGACTTCTTCCCGTGGGAAGGCAGGCCACACATAGCGACGAATGGTACCAGTTCGGGATTTAAGTCCAGACAGAAGATGAGTCTCAGACCCAGCCGATTTTGGATGTCTCACTTGCCAAAGATGGGAAACAGGGATGAATCTGCCGCTTCTCCACCAACACTCGAAGTCCACGAAAACCATCATCGCCCACATCTTCCAATTCAATAGGTAAGCCATAAAACAGCATAAAACAGCGACGACACCAAAGTTCTGATGGCCAAAGGATCAGCATGCTCTTGAGACGTGATGATAAAGTGATTGTCCATGCATCGCACACTGAATGAGTCATGAATAAGCTAAGATGAAGCAAATAATCGTTGCCATCCAATCTCTGTACGAAGTACTGGAAGGGAGCTCAACACCGGTGAGATTTGAGTGCCTACGCACGTACCATCATGTTGCTTCCATCTGGCTCCACACGCTTGAAAGATACCACAATTGAACGAAACTTGAACAACGGCCGGAATGTCTTCCATGTCAATAAACTTCCTCCACCAGCGTGAATCTCCTGCTCGTGTAGTAGCTCCTGAAATGCTCTTGATTGGACGACATGCTGGACTGATGATAGCGGTCAATCTGGATGAGTGAGAAACTTGCTGAAAACGAAACAACGGCATGTCAACTGCTTGAGCCATCCGCACTTGGGGACACTGTTAAAGAATCCCACCAAGTCGTCATCAGTCGGTCAAAGCCAAAGAAACAT